CTGGTGGGGACTTCCCAGCCCGGAACCAGAAGACACGCTCAACAGATGGCGCGATATAGCATTGCGGTTATGGTTGCGGTTCACCTGGCGAACAAACATCGATTTTAGTTGATGTGAAATTGAAATAACATTTCTCTAAAGAAATACGGAAGTTCATATTATCATAATGTTATTTGTATACGTACGCAACATCACGCTGTACCATGTATACACCGATAGAAATGTATTCATGCCCCACGGTTTTCGTTATTTAGATCGAAATAGACTGAAATACCGAAGTCGGATAAAATAGTCTGCACTTGTTCAGCTATTGAATATGAAATGCTAATATATTCAAGTAGCCGCACAACGTGCGAATATTTTTAAGCATTCGACTAGAATATAGAATAGCAATATATTCATCGTATCTAACATGGTTTGCAAGGGTCACGATCTTAGTCTTCGACTCTGTAATACATTCCATTCTAAGAGAAAAGTTGAAGGTCATAGAAATTCAAGGTAATCTACCGTCCTGAATTTCTGGCATCCTAACGAATAGAAACGATTGCAAAATAATTCATTACCGATCGAACTATGATGTATGCGCATTCAGACGTTTGGTACATGTGTTTCTGACACTCATACACGGCGAGACGAGACGGCAATGAACTGCAGCAAGCATCGCATAGAACAGGCTAGATCTAACCGAGAGAAATAATCTAGCTGCATCTATGACGCGGTATCAAGCGCCGGTTCAAACTTGTTTTCGATGGAATCGGAAGAATCCCCGGATACGAGATCTTACCGAGAGTCGAGTCAGAAGAGATGAAGATAAACGATAATTCGGAGGAATAAGTCGGAAGATAATTCGTTAGAAATCAAATCGTTACTCGTGATCTTGACGTTTAGAAGCGTGACTTCAAATTCCAATCCTTTAAGGCTACCAACGTTTAGGATTTTGAAAGTTGCATGGACAGTAGGATTTTGCGAGTCCAGTAAAATACGGGGAACCTAGGAAGAAATAACACTTTCAATATACTGATAAATGTGTTATCAAAAACCATGCTTTTTCTTTAATGGTAAATAATAATTAAAAGAGTAATGACTGTGGGAGCTCTTTAAATTATAAATATGCCCCGTACGAGACACTGTATATTTTATTTTTATGATCTATTTCCGTACAGAGTCGGGATTTTAATATAAAGTGGTCCTACAGCTATTCCTTGTTAATTTTGAATAATTAATATATTGTACGCACGGAATAAGCGTGTCCTCCGATGAAACTGTTCTCGCGAAAGTTTCCGATCCGGCAAAAGTTTGACCTCTCTGTCGGTGAACACACACACGCACACCGGTACTACACAAACACGGTCCCGCGGGTCCGTATGCTACACTCACGCGCATACACGCTTGCGCCTGGCGTATCGCTACACCGAAGATGATCGACCAAAGTTGACCAACCAGGAAGCGATCATGGACAACTGGTCACTCGCCGGAATTCTGTCCTTTGCGATTACACGTTTCTGTGGTCTGCTTTAAAATCGGAATCGTCCTCGGAACTCGTTTAATGCGATGCCGTTAAAGCAGGAATTTTCTCACCGTGGTTCTTTATTCGGTATCGAGCCGATCGAACGTGTACGATGAAACAACTTGTCGTTAGAAGCAGAGAATTAATTTAAATTCTTATTATTATCAAGGACATGTATGTTTTAGTAGGAATTCATTTCGAGCACACGTTTAGACAATTCCCCGACTTAATCGTCGAACCACGTGCTAGTAAAGACGAACGGCAAAACTTCTGTGAAGATGTCGATATTCGGATCAAGACTACGTCCGAGTCCTTCGATCACGACCATGCTAAGGATCACGCTGCTGAAGGATCCGTCTTGCTTGACTCGATGCTGAACCATCGCGGAAAACAACTCTGTCACGACCGTGCTTACGCTCACCTGTAAAAGTTTCAAGACTCGTCGAGGCTTCGAGGCGCTTCTAACAGTTGGATAATTACAGTGATGTTATCTTTAAGATGAGAATTAACGATCTCCCGCATCGCATTTTTAAAACCGTCCGGGTCGGGAGATGCTTGCGAGCTATGTTCCAAGATGTACTCCGCCGCCAGTTCGCCCTGAAAATAAAAGAAAGGAAGTAAGAATCGATAGTAATTAAAAAGGAAATAAAGATCATCGTTTCCGTACATACGTTACCCATTAATACAGAGCGGAAAACGTCCCTAAGATTTCGTTGACAGCGAGCGTTCAGTGATACTACCAAACCGCAATCGAGTATGACTAATCGCGGATAGCTTGGCAAGTAATCACGATCGATAAACCTCCCAAGCCATGCCCAAATTCTTCCAGTTGGCTCACAGTTTGTGTCAACTAGGATGTTACCAGGGTGTAAGTCGCAATGAATGAAATTATCTTTAAATACCTGTAATTCACGATCGATCGTTCCCGATCACTCTTAACATTTACGGTCTCTTTTATTAATCTTAATACTACGCTTAATGAAAAAATCGATCGAATGATCGCCTACCATTTTCAAGATCGTCCTGATTCCTATCTTAGCTAGTTTCTCTTGGAGCTTGGTATCGTCATACTCGAGATAATCGGAAATCGGTGTACCTTCGTGAAAGCTTTCCACGAGTATTTCACGTTGCGTGAAATTCGTGTAAGGATGTGGAAAAATGACGTCCTCCTTTCCGGCGAAATTTTTGGAAAATTTTAATAAGTTAGCCTCTTCAAGATTCATATCGACCTTTACGAAAGTACAAAAATGAATGGTTGAGAATCGATGATTAGGAAGTTAATTTAGAAAGTTACTTGATTTTCCATTATCTGCGAGAACTCGTCGATGCAGTCGGGAAGACTGAGCCAATGTAATTGCGGAACGATGTACGTTGCGCACTTACAAATCCCCTTCATGATGGACAGATCTCGCCTAAAATAAGCGAAACGAAAACGGTTAATAAAATATTCAAGGAAAAGAATGGAATCGCGACGTGACGTTATACTTTAGCTGGCCTTTAATTCCAGGATGTAGAATTTTAATCGCCACAGGTTGCAATTTCCTTTTGTACGCGTTGTCCTGTTGCATTTCACCGTCATCGTTCAACATTCTATCTGAAATTAATTTGCATTAATCTCAGCTTGGTCTAATCCTTTCGAACGAAGCGGCGACATTCGCGTTATTTACCGACGAAAGTGTTTATCCATCCGAGGTTGAAGTACTCGATAACTGTAAAAAGGTTTCAATTATTTTGTGTTACTTTTATACGGTTCAAAAATGTTTAGCTTTTATTATAGATTACGTAATTTCCGGTTGACTATTCTCCATTCTCCTCGTTCTTTGTCATGCTGTACCATGAACCGCTTTTTATGTTTACTGTTAAACCGTGCCTAGTATTCATGGAACATGAAAAAGGTGATATGCATCCTCTATATGTGTGACAAGGTTGCTGAATTAATTATTAGTTTCTCTTAGTATATGAAAAAGAGGAATTTAAAAATAGAGGATATCACGTATACACTATATATTGAGATTATTTTTTCCATATTCCATAAATATTATGAAATTGTTAATATACTACTACGTATCGTGCACGGTAGGTGTCTAAAATACTTCATAAAAAAAATGACTATTTTCATCGATCAGAAACTTCCGTCCATCCATCAGTCCGTCCGTCCGTCCGTCCGTCCATCTTACGACAGAAATAGGAGTGTATAGAGTTACACAAAAAGACTTTCTAATTTACTTTGCACGAACGTAGGTATTCGAGGCGTTCGCGTTACTTCGACTCGAGCATTCAGATCCACCCATGCCTTGTACACCTGCCGATCGGACACGAATCGATTGAAGAAAAACAACAAATGAAAAACAACGTGTCGGATCAAACAGATTCGCCCATGGTGCATCCTTATACCTGAGCGCAGCATCCCGATCCGATCGGTACTTTGTCCTCGAATTTCACGAATATATTCTTCCAATTTGAACCATACGTAGATTTCAGCAAATGCTTCGTATAACTCCACGAATGCGGTGAAACCGTACGCTGCAATCGCGAAAGCGTACGGCAAATATCCTCAGGAAACAGATCGTTTCGCGTGGCCGCCCACTGGCCGAATTTGACGAATATCGGGCCCAAATGTTCGATACCTAAAATTAGCGGTATCAAAACTAAAGTTTAAATAAAATTTCTAGAACTAACCAACAAATTAATAATGGTGCGAATCTGAAATTCAACACCATCTATATTTCTACGTTCAATATAAATTCTACGTAAATAATTACTTTTCCGTAAAATTTCCGGAAACACGTGTCCATGGGTGAAACGCGTGACGAAATATGCGATTGCCAATCCGGTTACAATGGATCCTATCACGAAAATTCGTGTCAGAATTAAAATAGCATTCTGGACTGCAGCGAAGAAACCTTCTTGCTGTGTGCTTTTTATCAAAGATTTGGTTGGATGCATATATGGTCGAAGATTAGGCTCGTAAGAGAGAATAAGGACAGCCTGAACGGCTCGTTTGGAACCCTCGAAATTGATGTGCCTCATTAACGTCCTGCAAAATCGAATCGGTGCCGCGTTCTTATGATTTCTCGTTTGCCAATTGTCCCGTCTATTTTGGCGAAATTTGCTTGACCGGAACACTCTCAAGAGGTTCGAATAAAATGCCATTGTTCATCGTACGCTGTTGCGATTTTGCCATACACGAGAAAGAATATGTCCTTCGTTACAACTCCATTAGGACAATGCACTTATTGCATGATCAAAATCGATTGGGAATCCAGTAACATCGTACGTGTTTAAAACTATTTTTTCGACCGTGCAGGTTCATTGTGAATAATTAGAATACAATTTACAATCATGTAATAAAATTACGCGAGTCTTTTACCTTATTATTAGGCCGTCATGCGATTACGATACGTTTTCAAATAAACTCCTGTACGTTTCCGCTTTCCCCATTTGGTAACACTGGGTAACACAGTTGGGTCGATCCTGTTCGTTCATGAGAATAGATAACTAGCAAATCGATATAGAAATTATTATAAGATCTCATGCGATTGGGGCATTCATGTTGCATTGAGAATAGAAAACGAAAGAACGGCATTTCGAGGAAACAAGCAGAAAAGAGAACTACATTCACTCGATATAGTAGATATAGATTTGTTCATGTTTACGTCTTTCTAACCAAAACTGTTGGTTAATTGTTCGTAATATTGTCGGTACACGATTAAAAAACGGATTTTACTGACGATTCGTCGTAATAATTTAAATACATCGTTACATGTCAGAAGTTATACGTATGCATGTATGTATTTATGTCATATTTCGAAATAAAATTAAAAAAATACTCTCTTATCGCGGACTTAAATCTTGACGATGAAGACTATGTTGTTATATTGCAGGAACTTCAGTTGAATATTTTATGATTAAAATTGGATTGTGGTAAGGCATTTCGTTCAACTATATTAGAAGGGATAAATAATGAATATCCGCAGCAGAAGAAAGAATACTCTCGTTAAAGAAACCAAGACTGAATAATCTGACATTACATGAAGCCTGAGATATGCATGGCTCTTGTATGACAATAGAAGTTTGATAGGATGCCCACCATAGCCAGTTCCTCTTTAACATATGAAATTCTCATGTACTTTAATTCCTTTTATTTTGGTATGTTTGCTGTTTGCGAATTGGTCATGGGATTCTTCAAGGCTGCAAATTTGCCTTCACCTGGCACGAGCAAAACATTGTTAGAGTTTGCAATTTTGTTCTTCCTTATAACCACGGAAGGTGCCAGAATTTATCTTGGAAGGAAAGGAAATTTGACAGAACACGGACTACCAATTCTTATCGGATTTATTTTAACTATACCTAGCTCGCTGGCAACATTGTACTTTTTAATTTGGCAAAATTATGTGCTGCGATTGGAAGTAATTCTTTGCAGCATACAACTAGTCCTCCTGGCATCTGAATTAGTTATTTCCGTCTTGTGCCTTATAGCTATTTATCGTCCTCCATCTCCCGAAGAGTGAGTAATGCTTTGAGTGCCTTCTATCATCTTTCCAAATATGTACAATTTTAATGTATACAATATATAAATGAAGAAAATAGAAGTAAAATAAAACTTGTTTTTCATTTTCATACCCTTTAAAGTATTCCTAGATACTAAATTAATGTTTATTTATTTTGGAAATTGATATGATCTGTAGCTATACTACTTAATTTAAGACCTGTTTCTTTTCTTATTAATGTCTTTTTTTTTAAAGTATGCAATTGTACATTGTATTTACAACTAGTATTTATAATAAAATAAATATTTCTTAAATAAATAATACATATTTCTAATTTGATCATGTTTAGTAGATATTATAAGTAAACATTTACGAATAAATGGTTGGATTATCGAGACTGTAAAGTACACGTAAAAACAAATGTTAAAACAACATTCTTAATACTTTATAGAAAATATTAATGGTTTAAAATCAAAAATACTTAATAAAATATGTATGCATTCAAAAAAGAAAACATACGAATTCTCGCAAAATTTGCAACTATACGTTCTAATTTTTTTATAATTAATCTTTTATACTATTTGCCGCTGCTCTGCGTCTTCTAATAGCACGTAATCGATTATTACAGTATATTCGTAAAAACACCGAACCAAATACTAATAATATGCCTATTACGCCGATAGCTGTTACACGATGATGATATATCAAACAGGATAACAGTATAGCCAAACCCTAAAAAAACAAATGACATTTTTTGAAACATACATTCTAATAGCACAGTCGTCTAAAAAACAAATCGTTACCTGCCGAAGAGTCATCATGATCACAAATGTCACTGGCCCAAATTTAGAAATTGTATAAAAAATATATAGCTGGCCGCTAGCTGAACAAATTGATATGAGTAAACAGTCCATGATGAATGCAGGGTACTATACAAAAATATTATAAGTGCACCATAAATGATTATTTTTGTAATTATTTCTATTCTATTAGACACAGCTTGACTCACCTTTGTCATAAAAGAAAGTATGAGAGGAAAACTCGACTGCTGTAATAAGGACATCGCGGTTAATAAACAGGAAAACATATTAACTACACACATCATTTGTACGCTCGTTGCGCCATATTCCACGAATAATGCATTCTGCCAGGTACTCGTAAAGCTATCTAATAGTAAGTACCCTCCTAGAAGAATAGTACCAGAGACAGTAGTAGCTCCATCTAAAAGTATTAAAGTAAAATCAACAACAAAAATAACAACGTTAACAAATCTAAATTTACGAAATAAGAAATTTTACCGTTTCTATACTCGGAATTATCTAACATAAACAATGTCATTCCAATGCAAATAAGTACAGCTGTAACATACTCATAGTACTCATATGTAGTATGCGAAATTATTTTTCCCATTATCATCACTGGAATTATTTTAGAAGCTTTTGCCAATACCTGTGTTGGAAAGCTAACAAATTTTAAAGCTTCATATTGACACCAACTGCTCATGATATTTGATAAAGAGCAAAATGCATATTTGTAAAGTGGTGCTTTATGTTGAGGCTGTCTTTGAACAATTAAATACAATCCTGACATCAGAAATGCAAGAATTCGATTTACAAACACTAAAAATTGAGAATCTTGGAAACGATCCTTGTTACCAGCAGCATTTACATATTCCTGAGGAAAAGTTTTGTGATATCTTAAAAACATTTAGTTACTAAAACAGTATTCAATCTAGCTGAATTATACCTGGGTCATTATTTTCTCTTGCAAATAACCCCATGTTAAAAAGCTAATTAGTAATCCAAAAAAACAATACAGAAGTAATAGAGCTTCTTGGAAAAAAGTACGCTGATTATGATTAGATGGTGTACTTGTATAAGAAGAGTCCAAAAGTCCTGTCTCGCAATGACCCACAAAGCATGAATGTACCAGCCTAGGAATGCATCCTTTACCTGCACAAAAACGATACACATAATTTCAGAAAAAAACTTGTAAATCTATTTAATCTTATTCATTTTTTTTATTTACCTCCCCTTTGAATATATTTGGTACGACGTACGTATTTATAGATAAGGCAACCTGGCAATAATACAGTAGCATAACTTAATAAATTTAAACATAATCTGATAATCCAATCATAAGAGGAAGACTTAAAAAATTGTTCTCCAGTGTTCACAAAAGATTTGATAACTTCGCTAACTCCAAATACCAGGCTCACTGAAAGTAGTAGCAATAAGCTACAAAAAATATTAATTTAGTGCATTGTATTAAAACCTAAAACCTATTAATGTACGCGTATAAAATGTCAAACAAGTTAGAATTAATTATACCATTTTTTGAAAGAAAATATAAATACTTAACGCTATTATTATTCGAACTTATAACTGAAACTCACCAAATTACAATATCGCTCACAAAATTTCGCATTGTCCTTATTGTAATTGAATGATCGTAAAATAAACAGTTATTAAATAATAAATCGTTTCATAACCTTGCCCTAACCACGTTAATACTTTGCGATTACATCCAGGAGTGCAAAAGTATAAAAATTGTATATCAACAATTTACAATTAACATTGTACTACATATCGTTGGTATATATTATAATAGACGATATTTAAAAAATCATAATTTCAATGATTTATAATATTTTGTTCGAAAACAAGACGTAATATTCATGCACGATCATCAATGAGAAGTACGATTTACGATGTTCTAATTGATCATTTATGAGCATCCAAAAAATGATTCATCAAATCATTTTTTGAAATCAATCCTGTCTTCCTACCGACTAATGTCAGATCCATATCTATTTACAGACATAACACGTGAGGTTCTGATACTGATTCTGTTCATTCAATTTTATGTATAATATTTCTTTTCTTTGTATTTTGTTCAATTCGTAAATTCAAAACTGTAAGTGTTATCACAGTTTTCAGATAAGTCGAATTGTTCTATTGTGTATAGTTACGAAAATATAACGAAATATATAAAACGTGTTGAATAATACAATTCAAATATTTAGCTTAACATTTAATTTAAATGAAAAGCAATGATGGTGATGCATTGTCATACTTTTATGTTTTGAGTTTCAAATACAATGCAATCAGACATTTAATTTATACCACGTAAATATGGTTATTTGCATTCTCGTACGCATAGACCTCTCGTACGTTGGTATTTCAAGATACATTAGAACTTTATCATGTAGCAAGTCTATGATAGACGTACTCTGTGATTCTATACCTGTACATGTGTGTGGAAACAAGGAAAGTGTATCAAAATTGGCTACATTTTGTAATTTACACGTTGTTTAACATTCAAAGTTGGGCTATCATGGCTTTAATAAGTAAGTCTGAATTTGTTATATAATAAGTGATAATAATCAGAAATAATTAAAGCGTATCTAAGAAACACCGGTAATTTGTCTCATTGTGTATTGCGTTACTTATTTGTCGGACAGGATTTATGTTACCCCTTCCCCAAAAGATAACAGAAAATGCGCGGGAATGCCAAAGGTTTAGGCGGGAAATGTAGCAAGTGCGGTCAAGTGCGATTAAGTGTGATGATTCGGTGTGATATTCGATTGAATGGCTACACAAACAGTAGAATAACGTGACTGTTTAAATATAATTGTTCTTCGATGTGTTCTTCTAATTTCGTATTCGTATTATAATATATCTAAATTTATTTACGCGTTATCCTTAGTTTTTGGTTAACTAGAACTCGTTAACACACTTCTCTCCAAGTGTCTATTAAAATTTTAGCTTGTCCTCGACCTAATATTTCGATTATTTTATTAAAAGAGACTGATAGTTCTATTTTGTTTATCGTGGTAAGTAACGCAATACGATTTTTAGGATATTTAAAATTATCAATGTTAAATTTTTAAAGGTAAACATTTGGTCGTACTAATAAAAAAAATGACTAATTCGCCTGTGAAGTTATACAAACGGCCATTTACAGTATGTATAGAGGGAAATATAGGAAGTGGAAAAACGACGTTCTTAAGTCATTTTAAGCAATTTAACAATACAACAGTTCTACAGGAACCAGTAGATCTTTGGCGAGACGTAGCTGGAACTAATTTACTAGTAAGAATTTATGAATTTAAATTTATACTAATGTGAGATAAAATATAGGTAATAAATATGTTTTAATATTATTTAGGAATTGATGTACTCAGATCCAAAACGTTATGCTTTCTTATTCCAATCCTATGTGCAATTAACAATGCTTCAACTTCACACATATAAAACTCCCTTGCCATACAAAATCATGGAAAGATCTGTGTATAGTGCAAGGTGTTTTATTGAAAATATGAAGCGCACAAACATGTTAACCAATGTAGAAATTTTAGTATTGGAAGATTGGTATGATTGGTGTATAAAAAGTGCTAATATAGAAACAGATTTAATAGGTAACACATATATTTATGCTTCTATAGCACAAGTACAAAGCAGTACTTGTTGGTATTAATCTCTGTCTTTATTTTAAAATAGTGTATATTAGAACATCTCCAGAAGTTGTATATCAGAGGATGAAAGCAAGAGCAAGAAAGGAAGAAAATTGTGTATCTTTAGAATATTTAAAGCAAATTCATGGCATCCACGACGATTGGCTTTATCATCAAACATTATTCAATATACCAGCGCCAATTTTAATTCTAGATGGGAACAAGAATCTTGAAGAAATGGTAAATGAATTTGAAAATTGTAAAAATCGGATTTTCGGCAAGAAAGATGTCGAAAAAAAAGAAGCAGAAAGTATAGTTACTCCGTTATCATCAAGACATTCTCTGACAGAGATTAAAACAGGTCCATCTCATTGACATATACAAAACATCTAATGTACCGGTAATTTTTTAATTTTTTTACATTAAATCATTGTACATATGTAATAAAGAGTATTGCATAATATTAATTGAAAGCAAACTTTAATTGTATATCTATATAAATGTACTTACATGTAGACATTAGCTGTAAGACTGATTGGAATTGGACTGTTAAGAAACGAAATTGTATATATTAGAATAAAACTATGTAGTAAATAAATTTTGAATGTAACACGAATTATAAATATAAAAAGATAAAAATGTATTTACATAATTATT